TTTGTACCGCATTCTCTGACGGCCACGCTTGCCCCTCATTCCAATTGGACATGAGGGTTTTGCACGGCCATCCTCTCAAGGTTGTCCACTTCCAATGTTGGAACACACAGCGCCATTCTGGTAGGTGTTTCCAGCTGGTTGAAGTGGGGTTGGCAGCACAGCGTGTCTCATCCTTTAGCGCTGCTCACGTCGAGATTGGTGTCTTGTTTGACCGGAAAACCTTTAGGCCAACCGAAGCCATATTTGTTTTGTGGGGGGGGGCTCTCCCAGAGAAAAAAGACGCGCCAAAAGGAAACAAACCCAAAAGCGGCAAAAACTATGCGATGAAGTCTGGCAATGGATCTTCGAGCGTTCCACCAGCACTTTGCCGCAGTAGGTGATTGAGACGAACACCGGCTCCACGCACCTTGGAAATGACGACCTCGACCTTCAACTACCGTAAAAAAGTGGGAATCACGCACAATTTTAGGGCAACATGTCCTTTTTGAGGGTAGTTTGAGGGTCCAGCTGGGGGTGGGGTGAACCTACCCTGCCAAGTGACTGTGACAATCAATCGAATTTGGGTGACTGCCGTGGCCTCCAATGGCACAAGGCCGGACAAGTGCTCCCAGCCAGCCGCGCATGGTACACAAGGTCTACCCAAAACCACATAAAGAACGGGCGGATGTCCCCTAGCCCTCACCTACTTCCGAGCTGTGGGAAAACACAACAAGTGAAACTTCCCCTCTAAAATGGGACACCCCTCCAACCAACCCAAACTTCACCTTGGCCCACATTGGGGCCATCCCGAAAATATCTGCCGAGGCTGCCTCATGTTCAGCCCAAAAATCCGAAATAGCTTGGGAGGACACCCCAACAGAGGTTCTTAAAGTAAGGATCCACAACCCAGAAATACAAGGTTAACCTTTTGGGACCTTGACCAAAAGCGGACCAACGTGGGGAAACCAAAAGGTAAAAAGGCTGGGCAACTGAGTACTTGGGAGGGATACGTACTCCTGTCCGAAGGAAAAGTGGGTCAAAATTGGGACTATACTACCCTTCCACCAAGTGGAAGCATCGTCGTTTTCGCAGCGATGTCTGTTTCCAAGCGTAAAATTGATTTGAACAATCCTTTCACTGGCCATGAGTCTCTGCAATGATTGATCCCCAACAGGGGTTCTCAATAGGGGTCTGGATTTTTAAAAAAAATGAGAAAAAACAACAAACATATGACCGAGTCTCTCTTGCCTATCCTAAAAACTATGGGCAATTCAGCACCCGGAAAGCCCTGTTCGGTGACCCGGGTAGAACAAACAATGCCCTTGGGGTTGACCATTTCTGGTGGGGAATCCCGAAATAAAAAGGGAAAAGGGTGCAATTGAACAACTGAGAAACAGAACAATGAAAGCCTTAACCCGAGTGCCTGCATTTCAGCCAAGCGTCCTGTAGAGATTCCTCGAAAACCGCATGCGCGACCAAGCGCCTGCCCTCAAAATGGGTCTGTGTCTTAAAGTAGCAGTCCATTTCCTAAAATGGCAACGGTTTCTGTTGGGCGTCCCCTCAGAGTCCAAACATATTTGGGGGTCCACCATTTTAATCGACACCTAAAGTGGCCTAAAGTGACATGGAACCCAAAAATGGGCTCCACCAAAAGGAGACTCCTCTCATGCTCATTTGAGGGGGGGGGGAGCCCTGTTGACTCAAACAAATCCTTCACTTCTGAGCGTTTTTATCCTCTAGTGATCAGCTTTGTATGGTTCATGCTCCGATTGCCACTGCGTGCCCTGACATCAAACGTGTGGAAACAGCAGGCCCGAATCTGTTCCGACTTGCTCCAAACGCGCACACATGCACACACCATTTGTCCCGCCTTGCAGCGCTTGGCGTCTCGACGCAACACGCTTGACAAGATGAAGGCTGACCCAATCAGCAGAGACGCCAGCTGCCCTCCTTTTCACGATATCACTCAAACAAGTGCTGTGGTATCCCGGCCAACCTCCCCCATGTTTCCTCCAGGGAAATAGAATGTTGTCTGTCCCGTCCAAATCCCTTGAACATAAGTTCAACATGCCTCACCCGCTTCAAGAAAGCTTCCGAGGCTCCAAGCAGAGTTGACCCTCTTGGTGGGTTACTCAAGTGGCTGACTACTTAGTAACTTGGCCGAACATCCAAGTAACATTAGGCTCTGAATCAATAAGAATGGAATATGGAGCACTTTGTCTAAGTCATGATCATAGGTAAGCTATTAGCAACTATATAGGCCCCGTATATATCACCCCTAAACGTCACCCCACTTAAAGCAAACTCACTCTGGGCCCAAAAGGTGCTTTCATCCATCAAAACAGAAATACCGGGAGTGTTGGGTGGCCCCCTTTCGAAAGAAGGCCAGATACGTGTCAAAGTCACAGGGGAGGCTTCTTCCCCCCCGTCCGATGCCTTCGACGCATTGAAGGCCGGGGCCCCGGCTTGCGGTTGTCCAGTCTCAAGGTGCAGCTCCCCTCGCGGAGCTCGCGCATCAGCGAGCTCAGGCCCTTGGCCCTGCCGTTGCCCCAGAACCTCGGCTCGCTCGGCTTGCGGCGAGCGGGACTTGCGAAGGGACGGGTCCCGTCTGAAGGGCTCCCTTGGCTCCATGGCTGGGAGCCCCGAGGTGCCATGGAGGTTGGGGGTCATTGATCGACACAGTGGAACGGGAAGGTAGATCACTTGTGGAAAATTCGAGACAAGTCCTGAACCGGGCAATGGCCCCAAGACTCCAAGGAAAAGAGTCTTGCAGCTTGGGGTCCCAAGCCACAACCCAAAAAGTGAGTTGAAGCTATGCCCCGAGCAAAAGGTCAACCTTTTGTAGCTTCACTAGCAAGACATGTTGTTTCCGAAAGAAAGACCAGCCATGAAAGGTCCCCACCCTCTTGGGGGAAAAACCTACACAGACCAAGGACTCCCCGCAAGGAACCCCCCCCTCCCCACATGGCAGCACCCCTTGTGTCGAAACCGCGCGGTTTCAAAGGGCAATCATGGAACCAAAGCTCCAACCCTAACCTCTGGATCCTCTTTTCAGGATGAACCGCGCACGGCATCAAGCAGCTGGCTAAATAATTTCTCCTCAAGGTCGACAAGGTCCCGAAAATCCAGATTTTGGAGGGTTCTCCTGGCCCGCCAGTCCTCTCCGGTCCTTTCCTGTGTGGACCCCTGTAAGGCCAATGGGACTGCAATAGGAAAGAAAAGGAATTGCATTTCTTACTTCCAACGCTGGAGAGGGCCAGGATTGATCAAAATTTGAAGGGGCTAGACTTGAAGGCGGCGGACCCTTTGCGAGCTTGTCAAACCTTGCTTTTGCAAACACATTGTAACAAGAACTTTGCTGTTTCCGGCCAGGCGCTTTTTGATGTTTGGAATTGCAACCCTTGAGACTATGAAAGGAGTTTGCATGGCAAAAATATACAGTTTTTGGCTAGCCGGTGTTTTCCGATGTTTGGAATTGCAACCCTTGAGGCTACTAAAGGATTTAGAATTGGCAATCAGGGGGGGGTTTGGGAGGTGCCAAATTATTTTTCAGAGGCCCCTTTGGGCCAAATCTCGAGGGTGCCTTTGAAGTAGTATTGTCTGGCAGCCGCCTGGAAAAATCGAGTGTCTTTGCTCAAAGGGTTTAAATAATCACGCGCCAACATTAACCATTTCCAGGAATGACCATGGCGATATGCCGTGGGTCTTTCACAAATAGAGGACCTTGTTGATCACCTGAGACTCCATGTATGACCCACAGCCAAACCCGTAAGGATGGCCCATGGCCCATGTGCCATGCTACGAGGTGTCGACCCCGTGGCTCTCCAGCAGGTCTTGCAGCGCCTGGTAATGCAAGGACCTTTCAAAGGACAAATGTCGACTTTAAATTCCACTTGGGTGAAAGATGGTGGAAGATTGTGTTTTTCGCAGGGCTCCACTTTTTGAATGCCTTCAAGGAAGAACGGAAAGGAAACCAAACAATTCAGAGGTCCCCGATTTGGAGAAGCACAATCATGCCAACTCGGATTGTGCTTGGGTGAAAGTAATTACCCTCTCACAATGAACATGGAAGTGCACAAACATCCTGTTCAAAAGGAAAGTAGGCTTTCAACCGGGTCTGTGCACTTTCATGTTTGTTGGTGAGGGTAGATGGAGGGTAGATGGCACAATCTCTCCATGGTGGCTTGCTCATCCCCTTTAATTATCCACATCCAGGAAATTCAAGGGAATTGTGCTATCCGTTTTCATTTGGAACGTCCGGGTCAATCCGGAGGACCCGTACCAATTGAGGTGCTTCCCTATTTGGAAGGGACATTATACTTTTGGTCTTTTTTTGGTTCCTCTGAGCAGTAGGATCCTCCGCATTCATCAGTTAACAATTGTTTGTCTTCCTGACCATCCTATGACAATGTCAGCCATAATCAAAATGAATACAATGCGGTTTCTGCGGACTTCATGGCCAAATTATATCATTCTCTGGCCTCTTCTATTCAGTCTTTCACGTCCCAGACGCCTTCTCACTGCTCGGGCGAAGTACTGAATCCCTGCTCGGCAACCAACTCGCCAAGCAAAAGCAATCCATGGCGCTCGGAACGAAACCCCGCGCGGCGCAAGCAACAAGCCCCGAGTGAGGAAATGAATTTTCAAAAAACAACTTCCGTTTGGCCCGACATTGGACAGCTCAAGCTGAGCGGACTTGAGCCTCTCGCCAGCACACGACTTTCGATTCAGTGCCAGTCCTGGTGCATGTATCGAATATAGTGCTTGCAACAGGGTTTCTCACTGGATGCATAAAAACCCATGTGCTTTACAAGTAGTGATGTTCTAACTGGCCCACATATCTATATCCTTTGAGGGACCCTGAGCAAACCAGCAAACACCTGTAAATTACTTATGGGGGGCTTGCTCTCTTGCAATGTTGAGCTCATCAAAGCTAAATTGAATCTCAGTCTTCCAGACAGGCTTTGGCCCTGTCGCACCCACGCAGCGAGTGCGCGAAAAGAATCCTCAGGCCACCCAGCTGAAGATGTACCAGTGCAAACCTGCGCTGGGGCTGCGGGATTTTCCAGGGTTGGGCAATTTTAGCTCAGCGGTTCCTTGCTAAAAGTTACTCGGGATGTCATACGTATCCCCAAGTTCTAAAACAGACAGTGCTTAAGTCGATGGCAGGAACCGCAAGTTAAAAAGACTTACAACACTCGTGCTTTCACAGCGTCCTTTTGCCTTTCCATAAAAAGGGAGGGGTCGGTGGTGCCCACAAATGTAGCCAAAAAGGAAAAAATGCAATGACTCATGTTAGCTAAGTCTGACAATGAATGTTTGCCGGTTTGGGGGCTTTTCGCCAGCTCGTTGCCTATCGCTGGTCTGGCCGGCTCTTCTGCATCGTCATCTTCAGCGCCTGCGGGCTCGGCCGATTTGAAGGCTGTTCCACTACCTGGGTGTGGGGAAAAAACAGGTATTCAAAATGGGCCCTGCTGGTAGTTGATTTTTGACCCAAACCCACCTGGCTGTTCATTCTGCAGTCTGTTGCGCTACCTGGCTTGAAGATCCTCCAAGGGCCCGGAGAAGATTGCATAAACCTTGGCACCCGCGTGGGTTCTCCGACCCTCTCACCTGCTGGAAGAAGCATTCCCGCAGTGCTTCCACTAGGAGTGCTTGACTTTCCGCTTGATGAGTCTTGGGGTTCATTCTGAGTTCAGTTAACCAATCAACTTGGGGCAGTGACCTCCCGTGAAAACCCCGAAAGGCCGTCGCCGGGAAAATCAGGTCCCTTGCAAATGAGCTTCAAGTGAAGCCTCCCCCAAACCAACCCTCAATGTGAGGGTTGGTTCCCCCTTTAAACTTGAACATGGCTTAAACAGCAGTTGCTCAATAAACCTCCTTGAGGTGGGCAATCCCATGAGGCCACCAAGGAATTGATTGCTTGGACAATTGCATAGGTGGATTTCTGGGAAGGATCCGTCTCAGTGAAGTTGCCCTTCAAAAATCAAGCTGGTCGTTTCTCAAAAGGGGAAAAGATTCTGTCTCTCTCTCTCTCTCTCTCTCTCTCTCTTTGCCGCACCATCGGTATCCGTCCACCAGAGATGGGGTGCCAAGAGCCCGAATGTTTCCGGCTCTTCGGAACATTTTCCTTCACGGGCCCAGTTTGACACAATATGCGTCAGTTTCCCGCCTTTCCGCCGCTTGCCTTTCCGCCGCACCCGGCTGGCTTTCATACCTTCGTTGGCACAAGCTCGGGCCCTCGCGCATGAATGGGAAAGCAAACGCCGTCAGTGCCCCAGCCCCGCCATCCTGCAGCTGTTTGGGAACTTGTTTTGAGGCGGAACTTTTTTTCGCGGCACGGTGAGCCATAATCAAAACCTGGCATGGTGGGCGTCTATCCCACATCATGCAAATAAATTGAAGGACTTCCTCGTTGCGCCGCGAAATTTTGGTTGGGACCCTCCTTTACTAGCCATCTAGCATGGCCTTCTAGTGTGATCCTTTTTTGGGCGGACTGTCATGTGTGGGGGAGCATTCACAATGGGAAAAAGGGTGCCAAACGGTGCCAAGACACAACTGGGACCAATGGGCTGTGAACACAAGCCTTGCAAACTCCTGGAGTCAATCGGCGAACTGACCATTCATCGCTTTAATGATCATGAAAACCACCGGCTGTTTGGGTTATTGACATAGAGCACTTGAATCTCAACCGACATGTATAGATTATCTTCATACTTGGCGAGCCTATGTCAACCGATGCCCAGTCAATGCCGCAAGCCTCGCAAGCCGTTGGCAATGGAACATGGCACCACTTTTCTTCCCCTCAAGGCTGCCTACAAATGTCAGCCTCATTCTGGCTATAAACCCTAGCAACAGTTCATGAAGATCCCAACACTCCCCAAGTAAAGGGGTGTTGTAACCAGAACACATTTGGGGAAGTTACTCAACTTTGCAGGGCGGGTTGCGTATCATAATGCTCGCCCATGCTTGCTGGTTTCCTGTTAGCTTGCTGGATCCCTCAAGTCTCATCGTTTCACAATGGCCAGTTCCTAACGGCCGCATCTCCTCATCCCAAGCCAGCTCACTTGTACTTGGAAATCCCCCCGTTTGACTTTATTTATCTTTGGTAAATGGCTATGAATCTTAATGAGGAATACCCTCTCAAATGGTTGGCGGAAATAAATTTCCAACGCCTAAATGATGTCCACAAGAGGGTCCTCAATGAATTTTCACACCCAAACAGGAAGCGGGCCATGAGCTGAACAGTTTACCTACCTCCCAAAACCCAGACACTTCCCACTTTTCGCATCGTGTAGCCAGCAAACGGCAATCCATCCAGATCCATCCAGACTGAGCATAGGAGCGAGCCAGAGGCGTTTATTGATGTTGATCGTGTGAAGGTAGAAAGGTGAGCCCTTCTTACTTGGGACTAGGAAGGAATACACTTTCTCTCACTCATCTCGCGCTAAACCGGGGGCTAGTAAAAACTTAAGAAAAAATATAAAAAAAAAATAATAAAAAAAAAACATGACAAGCTCCCTTTTGGTTTCCCTTTCGGGTGAATTGCACAACACATGGGCTATGTAGCACCCAAAGGAATACACTGTCTCTTACCAACTCAGCGCCTTTTGGGAGGGTGCCAAGATCAGTTTCCCCTTGAAACATCTGCGCACAAATCGGACAGATTCATGACCCAGATCAGTCAACCCCAGCCTTCGTTGAAGAACATGGGCAAACAAAAAGCCATTGCTCACGCCAAAAAATGCAGGAGGGGGTCGACTTGCCTCGGTTGCAACCGCCTTTTTTCACCGCGAAGCCAAGCCAGGCCAGGCATGGCGACTCTGGTTTGGCCGCGAAGACCAGCACACGGCACAAATTGGAATGAGGTTTTGAACATGAATGTCCACTTGCCACCTACAATCTCAAGCAACACTTAGACATCTACGGAAAACAAGCTGAGGGTTGCCGTTCCTCAAGCCGAGCAGGTGCGACTCAACCCCGAGGGCCCGGCTAAGTTTGGCAGCTCGCATGTGTCAGCAGTTCAAAACAGGTTGGGGTGCAGGTTTTTCTATTGTTGGCATGATTTGGACACAGAAGTTCTGCCTGGAAAGAGGAAACGATGAATGGAAACACGTTGATTCCCCCTCCTTACCCTCCTTCCAATCATCGAATTGAAGAGGGCTTTGGAAGACTACCATCCCAACGTCCACACTTTTTTGGAAAGAGGACAACTGTACTCCTTTCCCTGGCAACATTTCTGGGAGTCTGGGAGAACGCCTGCACCATTTGCCTCGGCTTCCTGTGCCGCAAAGCCCGTCCAAATGAGGCCCTGGATCCCGAAGGTCTCAAGCCGTCCATAAACAACTCTGGGCAAATCATTTGGAAACCCATCTGACATAAGGGTTTTCAGGGATTGGATACACCCAAAGCCAACCATTTTATAGGCGATCCTCATACTCAGCTGGAATATTTGGGTGATCTGTTCTGAGCCCCCACAGGTTCTCAACACGACTTTTGGAGATGGCCTCCCACATCACAATTTTCATAACGCGTCTTTTTCCGGTTGATTCCGCCTGCACCCAACGACCCTTGGTAACAACTGCCACCTTTTGTACATCTCGGGCCTTGAAGCTTCGCGCAAGGCGCCCTTCGCCGGAAGACCCAATTGAGCAGCTGCACGCTGTCGAAACATTTGCCGCCTGAAGTCAGATTCTGTTTACATGGCTGTCATGTTCGAGTGCACATTTAGCGGTTGCCCAAAGCCACAAAGATAAACATCCACTTCAGCGGTTCCATATTCCAATAGGAGACAATGCCCAAGTACCATGCTGGTCACTTGGCAGACATTTTGCAGACATTCCATCTGATCCTTTGTTCCATATGAAGGGGGGCAATGATCATCCATACCAACACCCAAACAGGTCGTTTGCCCATAGCACATGTGGCAGTGCATCTTCTGCTAGCAAATTGCACCCGCGCGGTCCATCGTGTCGGCATCTGCAGGTGACGAGGTGGAACTGTCCGCCTCTACATCCCCCCAAAACAGTTCTTTAGAAATGCTGTTTCATAGCAATTCATTTTAACTTGGACCAAATGTGATTTGATTGAAACCGCCAGAAGGTGATCCCCAATTCAAAAGGCTGGCTGATTCCAAAAGCCGGATCGCGATCCTATGGATTCTGCCTGGTACTGCTTGGGGTAGAAACGCTCGACAAACGCCAGGGAATTGTAGGGGATGCCGCTTCGGCCCCCCAGGGCCAAAATCCGCCCTGCCACCTGCAAACGCCTTGGATACGGTTGCTCCAAAGACTCGTGCACAAGGGTAGAAATTTAGTCCCTGGTTGGAATGTTGTTTAAGGAAACCGTTCACCAATTTCCTACCCTTGGCTCGGAGAACCCTGTTGGATGCCCATCCCGACTTGCCAAGAGCATGAGCCTGTGGACCATACGGCTGCACAACGTCTGGTCGCACACACGCTCCGAAAAAAATGCCGGCGGGAACATCAACGCCGACCCCAAAGGAAACAATCAACAACAACCACCACGAAGCGGTACAAGACTCGGCTTTCGAGTACTCAGAAAGCACGGGGACAAGGGGTTGCCGTAGCAATAGGCGCTGACACACTAAAGCCACTCATGCGCTAAGAATGCGCTAGAGCAACGCATGGCTGGGCACGCGTTGGAGCTGACACGCGTCGCTTTGACGCGCCTAAGCTAACCAAGTTTGCAAAGTCCTTACAAAAGACTGATTGCATGATGCCACAGGTCACGGTAAAGTCCTCGAGTCTTGCGCCACACCTGGGACTTTGCAACTTTAGCTTCTCTAACTGGCTCAGGCGGGCTGCTGCGAACAAATTAGGCCTTCGGCGCACTCCGCAATTTCACAAGGTGTTGAACACCATTCTATGGGGACAGGCATTCAACAACACCTATCAAAAGGTTTAAGGCCATCCCTATTAACCCCAAAAAACAGAATTATATTCGGACCACATGCATGCGACATGCGCCAATGGGCCAGACTTGGGCCCCGCACAAGAAAGTGAACTCTTCGCATGTTGACAGGCAACAGGTGAAATAGCTAAGCCTTGTCTGGCAACATCCGGACATGGGCCAGCCAGGTTTTTAGATGCCAAAAAAAAGCGAAGCCATCCGAAGCCGACACGCGGGGTCCAACCCGTATATGATATAACACACTCATGCCCAGCCACCCACCCACCCACCCACCCACCCACGCACCCACGCACGCACGCACGCACTCACGCACATATATGGCATATATGAATATTAAAGTATGTTTTGCATGCGCTACACATTGTACATGTACGTGTGTGTTTGCAAATCTAAACCGGTAGAAATGTATGTGGATAAGCATAGATGTGTAAACATACATCAATACGTACATGCATAGCATAGATACATACATACATTACTTTATACATTACGCTAGATTGCATTACATTACATTACCTTACACTATGTGCCATACATACATACATACATACATACATACATACATACATACATACAGACACACAAATATACATTACTGCATGTAAATACATACATTACATTGAATTGCATTGCATTACTATACATACATACATACATACATTACATTACATTACATTACATTACATTGCATTGCATTACATTATATTATATTACATTACATTACATTACATTACATTACATTACATTACATTAATACATACATACATACATACATACATTACATACATACATACATACATACATACATACATACATACATACATACATACATACATACATACATACATACATACATACATACATACATACATACATACATACATACATACATACATACATACATACATACATACATACATACATACATACATACATACATACATACATACATACATACATACATACATACATACATACATACATACATACATACATACATACATACATACATACATACATACATACATACATACATACATACATACATACATACATACATACATACATACATACATACATACATACATACATACATACATACATACATACATACATACATACATACATACATACATACATACATACATACATACATACATACATACATACATACATACATACATACATACACATACATACATACATACATACATACATACATACATACATACATACATACATACATACATACATACATACATACATACATACATTACATACATACATACATACATACATACATACATACATACATACATACATACATACATACATACATACATACATACATACATACATACATACATACATACATACATACATACATACATACATACATACATACATACATACATACATACATACATACATACATACATACATACATACATACATACATACATACATACATACATACATACATACATACATACATACATACATACATACATACATACATACATACATACATACATACATACATACATACATACATACATACATACATACATACATACATACATACATACATACATACATACATACATACATACATACATACATACATACATACATACATACATACATACATACATACATTACATACATACATACATACATACATACATACATACATACATACATACATACATACATACATACATACATACATACATACATACATACATACATACATACATACATACATACATACATACATACATACATACATACATACATACATACATACATACATACATACATACATACATACATACATACATACATACATACATACATACATACATACATACATTACATACATACATACATACATACATACATACATACATACATACATACATACATACATACATACATACATACATACATTACATACATTACAGTACAGTACAAAGCGTTACACTACATTACATCACATTGCATGACTCTACATTACACTGCATTACACTAGCTACATACATTACATTACATTACATTGCATTACGTTACATTACGTTACACTACTTTACTTTACTTTACTTTACATACATTTCAGACAGACAGTCAACCAAACAAACATACACACATGCAGCCATACATTAAACACATTGGTACAGGCATGCATACATACATACATACAAACGTACATACATACATACATGCATACATACATACATGCATTACATACGTACATACATACATGCATTACATACGTACATACATACATTACATCACATTACATTACACTGCATTCCATTGCAGTACATTACATTACATGACATTACTTTACTTCACATTACATTTCAGACAAACAGGCAAACACACACACACATACATACACACATATATTACATACATTGATGCATGCATACATGCATTCCACTGCATTGCATTACATTACATTACGCTACATACATACAAACATACGAACATGCACCATGCACTACATACATCCATACATACGTGCATTACATACATTACATACATGCATACATACATACATACGTACATAGATGCATTCATATATACATTACATACATACATACATGCAGACATTACATTACATTGCATTACATTACCTTACCTTACATCACATTGCATTATCTTACATTACATTGCATTGCATCACATTACATACATGAAAGCATACATACATTACATACATTACAGTACAGTACAAAGCGTTACACTACATTACATCACATTACATGACTCTACATTACACTGCATTACATTAGTTACATACATTACATTACATTGCATTATGTTTCATTATGTTACACTACTTTACTTTACTTAACATACATTTCAGACAGACAGCCAAACAAACAAACATACACACATGCAGCCATACATTACACACATTGGTACAGACATGCATACATACATACATGCATTACATACGTACATACATACATTACATTACATTACATTACATTACAATGCATTCCATTGCAGTACATTACATTACATGACATTACTTTACTTTACATTACATTTCAGACAAACAGGCAAACACACAAACATACATAAACACATATATTACATACATTCATGCATGCATACATGCATTCCATTGCATTGCGTTACATTACATTACGCTACATACATACATTACATACATGCAAACATACATACATACTTACGTACATAGATGCATTCATATATACATTACATACATACATACATACAGACATTACATTACATTACATTATATTACCTACCTTACATCACATTGCATTTTCTTACATTACATTACATTGCATCACATTACATCGCATTACATTACATTACATACTTATGTTACATTACATACATACGCTTCATTACATTATTTTATAGTTTATATTACATTACATACATACATACTTACTTAGATAACATACATACAATACGTTACCTTACATTACATACCATACCATAAATTCGTACACACATTACACTACATTACGTTACGTTACATTACATTACATTAGATTACATGACATTACATTAGATTATCACAGTACATACATACAGACATACATTGCACTGCACTGCACTGCACTGCACTGCACTGCACTGCACTGCATTGCATACATACATACATAGATACATACATACATACATGCATACATTCATGCACTACATACACTACATTGCAATGCATTACGTTACAATTACAACTGCGTTACATTGGATTGCATTCACATTTACATGAATACATATATAGATATATATATATACTACATCATGAATCATAAATATACTCTTTTGCATCAAAATGACGCAAACGGGTGAATGTCCAACTAGGGGCACCCCAAATGGCGGTGCCGGCCCCCCAAAAAGAATACCCTCCGAAAAGCGAACATGCCAGTAACTTCAATGCCTTAGGAGGCTCCAGCCTGGCGAATGGCGACTCGGCCATCGGCGGCCATCCGCCATGGCTAGAGGGCTGCGGCTCGGTGGCCATCGACCTTGAGGTGCTCCTCCGGCACAGTGTACACCTGGCGCGTGGGTATGGGTGGGTCTGGGTAGGTATGGGTGGGTATTGAACTAAGCCCTGGTGCCCTAAGGTGAGGCTGAGCATTGAGGCTGGGGCTGGAGGCAAGGGCAATGATCTTTTATACATGGCCCTGGTCTTTGGTTGCCTCTGAAAGGACACCAACAAGAGATTTAAATAGTGGCTTAAACGTGCCCCACCGTGGCCGCGTGTGGACAAGGCTGGCTGGGTCTCAGGGAACGAGTAATGACCCGTCAGTGAACCATCCGAATGATACCAAACTGTTCATTCCCATGGCCTCGAGGACCTTCCCTAACAACCACTCCCCAATGCTCCTTGGGCCAATCGAGTCAAAAGAAACTCTGCAAAAGGTGACAACTGTTTGTTGGTTCAGAGGGAATGCAAAGCAAGCCCAAAAAGAGCAGAAGGGCAAAATGATAGCTGAGTCGGGAAGCAATAGCAAAAACCCGTGGATCCTGGAAACATCCGCATGCATTACATATCACGCACAAAATCTGAACATCTGGCGACGGGTGTTCGGCCTCTGTGTGTTTAATCATGGTTGTAACTCTTTATGCCAAAGTGGCCTTATCACTGACTACTTTGTCAGTTTCAAGGTGTTCTTTCGGTATTTTAAAAAATGGATTGCTTAAACCCCGATTGTCCCACCATACGAATTTAAATCTGAAAGGGAGGGGCTTCAGCCTCTATGGGCCAATCCCAGACCTGTCCCGGGGAAAACGGCGCCCTTTCTTTGGCAATTGAGCAGCGCCTGCAACCCTTTAACTGTTGGTTCTACTACGTAACATTGTGTTACAAAGGTTTACAAAGGCGCCACTATAGCCCGATTAAACCACGTCGTACAACCACTTATTAAACATTGCGCATGGGAGTTTAAGCTCTGCTCAATTGAATTTAATGGCAACGAAAAAAAAAGGGTACAGGCCTGGGTTACGTCCTGAGTTGGGGCTTCTCAACATGGTGAGACCCTTTCTTGGCTGCTATTTTCCGGGGCAAAAGGAAACCAACCATGTCTTGGACGTGGCCGATTTTGAGAAACTCCCCTACGCTTTTCTGAGAGCGCCCTCTTTAGGCTTCTTGTTCAACGGCCACCTTCTGGGAGGCGTCCTCGACCATGTAAAATCCTCGGCGCGGGGATTTTTGTTTTTGCGGGCCCAAGCGAACACCCCCCGCAAACCCCCCTCACTCCCGCCCCCCGGAAACAAACCAGTGTGGCCAACCCCTGGTGAAAATCATGGTTCAACACCACGGGTATTTAAGCAACTTCCGTTTCATTTCCTTCAAAGAGGGACAACAGGTTGAATTGTTTGAACAAATTTAGCAAAACCTGAGACACACCCGCCTGGGACGACAAACTGACCAAAGCTAGAGGTGGTGGCATGTTTGGGGGCGTGGTGCGGTAGGCACAGTTTCACCATCGTGATGCTAAGGGCCAAACGTTGCGAGAATGCAACAATTGACAAATGGAACTTTGGGAGTGCCTCCAATGGGAATGCCCCGTTTGGCACTGTGAGTTTGGAGCAGTTGGCGAAAACGAGGTCCCCTTGCAAATGGTTCCCACAAATAAGTTTTGGTAAGGATTAAAGGCGGTTCTAGTTGTGACAAGCGCGCTTGCGCAACACAAGGGGGCATGAGCCAGCATGCGCCTGAGTGACGCCAGCCCGTAAGGCTGCCCCAAAAGATTATTCCCGCTAGAAACCGGCAAGGGAATACCCAAAACTGACATACGACCTGCAAAATCGACAGCTGCCTACCCATAACCGAGAACCTGGCAATGTTGTCTGTTACTCGCGTTCCATTAACCCACCAGAATGTGGGCCGTGAGATCATCAGAGGGTTGGGATGACACCTCTCTTTTTCTGTGCGTGGAGTGCTAGAAGGGCCAACAAGATTGGGGTTGCGGGGTGCCTGTGCACCAAGCTGTATCATGATTGTAGGAGTATACTAAGCTCGCGAAAACCGGGTGGGTTGTTGGGGGGGTTCAAACGTAAAAAGTGCGTCGGTTAGCTGGCTAGTTGCTTTGATCGTTAGCTAACTAGTGAGCTGCTACTTGGCTCTTGGGCTAGTTGGCTAGTTTACTCAGCCAACAAGTTAGCTAGCTAGTTTGCTAGTCACATAGTTAGCTCACTTTGCTAGCTAGGTAATTAGCAAGCATATTGGCAACAAGCTTTTAGCTAGCACGTTAGCTAGATAAACGCTTAAATAGTTACCATGGACCATGTTCAAGAGCAAGCTCGTTAGCTTGTGAATCTTGTGAGCAAGGTCGACAGCTAGATAGTTCGCTACTTCTCCAATAAGCCAGGCTGGCCTTTCTACCTTCTTCGCACTTTTGCAGGGTAGATCCGCAAAAACTCAGCTTGTGTGTTTTGTTGTGTGTGTTTTGACCGGCTCTAGCTGTTTATCTACAGTAAGTAACTAACTAGTTAAGTAAGTAAATAACTAAGTAAGTAACTAACTTATTAACCACGTAACCATCGTTTTGCCACTGGAAAAGGAGCCTTCTTCCTCACCAGGCCGCCACCCTCGGCCTTGGACTTCACCAGGCCCCGCCATCCTGGAATGCTCCGCGACTCCGCAACGTCGCAAATGCGAAAGAGCGTGGGGCGTCCTGTTTTGCATCCCCTTCCGGGTTCCAGATGGAAAAACAAGAAAAACCAAAGGAAGCCAAAAAGAAGCAAAAGAAAACCACTAGACGACGGCAGAGCAAAACCCGTACATCAAGTCCAACACAAGAGCCTGTGAGCCACAAAGCTGTGACCGCTGTAGCGCGACGCGATCGTGCGAGGCTTCCAGGCTTCCTCTGTGCAAGTTCTCTCTGCAAGTGTGCCTGTCCAAGATCTCCATAGAAGTTTCCCAAGCAAGTCCTCGCAAGATCATATATAATATTCCTTCAGACTTCAGACTTTGCAGCCTGCACCCATTCCGAAGGACATGTTAGTGGGACGTGAGCTTTTGGCACAAGCAACGCGTCTGCCACTGCGCTGTCGAACTCTGGGGGTTTGATAATTGCAACTTGAGTCCGCTCCAAAAACGCCTATGACATCGCGTCTTGGAACCGGCGCAGAGATGAACCAAGCGGGGCAAACTCAGAAAACACACCTGCAGCAAACAAACTTGCCCCACCCATTCTTGAACCCGACATTTGTTCCAAACCGCAGGCTAGCTAGACTTGAGCTCAGCACAAAAACAGCGCACTTTTACCGAATCATGTCAAGGCAAAGCTTTGGAAGTTGGAAGATGCCAACATCAAAGTGTGCAACACAACAGCTTGAAAAGCGAGCCTTCAGCATCCGAAGACAAGCGCGAAAATCGCCCTTTCCTGTTTCCACGCTGGGATGCGCTGCGGCACTCACGCAAATCAGGTTCTGTCCAGCCGAATTGGAGACAGGCACGCATCTGGTCATCAAAGCTTCAAGGACCTTCGCGCCCGCTTGCGGCATCTCCGACCACGCGTTGGGGAGTCAGTGCAGGCTGTCAACTTACTGGGAATGCCCCAGGGAGCCCTCAGCAACAACAAGAAAGGCTGGCGATGAAAGCTTTTCAAAGGGAGCCATGAATGGATGGCATGCAAGCCATGGGGGCAAGTGGATCGGAGCGCGGCTTCGCGCACTCGTCGTCGGCGAAAGCAACGTCAAGAGGCAAATACACTTAAGCCGCGGGGTGTGCCAGCGGCTTTGGCAACTGCCAACAGCCGAGCTGGTGGGCTCCAAGTTATGTGATGTCCAACTATATAGCTCAGGCTTGTGATGCAATCTAGCGCTCCTTCTGCAAGCTTGAACATATCCCATTCCAAGCAACCTCCTAGGAGTCGAGGCTACCTTCATGCGAAGCCAGCCACTGAAGCACACACTAAACAAAGAACGAGCGCATCGCCGCATCAACTCCCAGCGCACGCCAGCCTTGAAAACTTATGGGCTGGGAAGTTGCAGTGGTGCTGATGCTGCAAGGCAAGCGGCAAGCGTCCACCTCGAAAGGCTTCGGTGAAGGCTTCGGTGAGTGCGCGGCCAGCAGTAGCTCTGTCTGCCAACCATCGCCACAGTCTTGACCTGGAACCTGCCACAAAGTTCTGGGCAAAGCTAAGCTGTCCAGTCCAACGGCTCCTTGACTTGCTCAAGTCATACAAACCTCATTCCAAGCAACTTGAGAAAAGCCACGAAACGAGGCTGTATTTTGAGGCGTGCGACTGCTGTGGTGAGTCTCGGCATTGATAGCCGGAACTGCACAAGGCCCTGGAACCAGCCAGGTCGGCTGCTGTCGACGCCTGCTAATGGCAAGGTCATTCCAAATCACTGCCATCCGAGCAGCGCATGCGCTCTCTCATTTCAAGCCGCAGCCCTGGCGTGGTTACGACGCGAATCCAAAATGAAGCCTCCTGCGAGCTCTCTAGATGCGAAGCCAGTCACTGAAGCCAATGCTAGAGCAAAACCTCACCTGCGCGACACCGCGCACCAGGCTTGAAAGCGTAAGGGGTGCAAAGTTGTGGTGCTGCCACTGCTGCAAGGCAAAGCATCAAACCCAAAATGTCTGAGCACTGCGCGCGCCAGGTGCAGGAGCAATCTCAAGCAGCAGCTTGCCACCAGGCCCTGGACACGGCCAAACCGGTTGGGTCCAAGTGCTCTGCGCTTTGCTCAAGTCAGGCTGTATTCAACAAGGTCGTACGCGTGATACGGGCCACAGCATGGAAGGAAATCTAGCCTGCTGTGCCACATTTTGGGTCGGAAAGAGGGGGACAGCAAGAGGAGTTTGCGCGGAAAGCGGGGGAAAGCAAGAGGAGTTTGCGCAGAGGTAGCGACGCCTGGAACACTCTGAAGGCAAGCCCGTCTTGCAATATCAGCTTCTTAACAAAGGTGCGCAGCTTTCGACGAAGCATTTCGCAAGGTGTCTGCAAAGCCCAAGGCTTTGCGCTGGCTCCTTAGAGCTTGCCCGTGCCCTGATCGTGGCATATTTAGCCAAACCCCCGCTCCCGACGCTTCCCTGGTTGGAACCATAGGTAAGCCCGTCCGTCGTTTGTGTCCTACCTGTTGGACCTTGCCACAGGCATGGCGCCCCAAGGGCAAGTCTGAAGGCAACTGCGCCAGCTCCTGCCCTGGCAACGACAGGCTGGGAAAGGGTGAGCTCCTGACTGCTCAGGCCCAAGCAAAGTGAATGATCAATCCGGCTCTGCGAGGCAATCAGGCAAGTGACGATTAAAACTGTCACAAGGCTTCTATAGCGCAAGAGCTAGCAAGCGAACTGGGTCCGAGCGACCTGTGCTTTGCTCACGTCGAGGCAACATGATGCTGCCCATGGCGCAATGCAACACTCATCCTGCAGGCCTGAACGGATCCAACTCTAAGCACCCTCTTGAAAGCCAGGCCGGTCACTATGCGCAGGACTGCATCGCTGCATCAACTCCCAGCGCACGCCAGCCTTGAAAACTTACGGGCTGGGAAGTTGCAGTGTTGCCGATGCTGCAAGGCAAGCGGCAAGCGTCCACCTCGAAAGGTTTTCGGTGAATGCGCGGCCAGCAGTAACTCTGTCTGCCAACCATCGCAGCAGTCTTGACCTGGAACCTGAAACAAAGTTCTGGGCTGAGCCAAGCTGGTTGAGTCCAACGGCTCCGTGACTTGCTCCCTGATGGTGACTTCTCACTCTGCGCCTCTGCTGCGCCTCGTAGCCAACACAAGCTTCATTCTTAGCAACCTGAGAAAAGCTGTGAAACGAAGCGACTGCTAAAGTGAGTCTCGGCATTGGTAGCTGCTGGGCTAAGCTTAGCATCAAACCTGCGCGGCCGCAACATGCCGCAACTGCACAAGGCCCTGGGACCAGCCAGGTCGGCTGCTGTCGACGCCTGCTAATGGCAAGGTCATTCCAAATCACTGCCATCCGAGCAGCGCATGCGCTCTCTCATTTCAAGCCGCAGCTGTGGCGTGGTTACGACGCGAATCCAAAATGCAACCTCCTGCGAGCTCTTTAGATGCGAAGCCAGTCACCGATGCAAATTCTAAACCAACGCTGAGCTGTTACACACGCTAGCCTTAAAAGCGGAAAGGGCCTCCACAGAAAGCCTGAGCGAGGCGCAGCCCCAATTTGAGGGACACGGCACCATTGCTTCTACAGAGGCTCCTACATCTCTACTCGCAAAGATACAACAGCAGCCCCCCCTTGCAAAAACCGAAGCAAATAGCGAGCAAAGTGCCGCACACACTGGGACACTGGCGCAAAATTCACAAGCAAACGCCCATTCCATCACAAGCACGCCTTCGGCAGCTTGCTTAAGTCCGCTGGTCTTAGCCGATCCTGAGACATCCAAAGGCACGCAAACTGCTGCGCGGCAGCTTGCACTCCGTAAGGCCCCTGCTCTTAGGCGCAGGGGAAGCCAAAGTGCGAGGGGCATGGCTGGCGAAACTATTCTTTGTTGTGCATGCCCCATCTTGCGCGCCACCCTGTGCTGATTTGCGAGTTGCAAGCGGTGGAACGTGTGCTTCCCGCGAAGCACAACTTTCGGCGGGGCCAGGGCCTCAGCAATTCAAGTAGCGGGGAGATTGAACACAAACTTCCTTGATGTCAGGGCAGCAGCAGCCAAAGACTGCATCCTTAAAGCAAGCGTGGCGAGCCTTGAGCGCGCAATTGCTTGGAAGTTGCGGCCCTGCCGAAACTGCAAGGCAAGAAAGGATTCATCACGCACGCAGGCCCTTGATTGCGTCTAGCAGCCGCAGCAGCAGCCAAAGACTGTATCCTTGAAGCAAACCCCAACGCGTCGCTAAAGCGTAATTGCTGGGAAGTTGCGGCCCTGCCGGCGCTGCAAGAGCAAACGCATAGGCCAGCAATTCATTAGCTTGCCGCGGTGTTCTGGACGCAGCAAAGCTGGTTGGACACTCCTCCTGCAAGCCTGAACGCATCCCACGCCAAGCAGCCTCTTGCAAGCGAAGCGAGCCACTGAAGCAAGCGTTAGAACAAGACCGCGTCAGTGAAAGCCCCAACGCGCACCAGCCTTGAAAACGTAATTACTAAGCGGCGGCTCTGCTGGCGCTGCAAGGCAAGCCGTCCAACTGCAAAGATGCAAGTGCTGTGAGCACCAGCCTCAGAAGCAGTCTGAGGCTGAAGCTTGCGACTGCGTTCTGCGCACGGGCAAGTCGGTTGGGTCCAACGGCTCCGTGCTTTGCCCAAGGCAACATGATGTTTATGCCACCGAACATCACTCTCCAAGCACGAAGAAATCATATCCTATTCCAAGTAAGCTGTTGCAAGCAAAGCCAGCCACAGAAGCAAATGCTAGACCAAGACTGCATGCTTGAAGCCGAACCAAGCGCACGCCGGCCTTGATAGCGTGATTGCTGGGCAGTTGCGGCTCCGCCGCAGCGCGCGCGCAGACCAACAGCACGTCTAGCAGCCGCATCTGTCTGAGGCAGAAGCTTGACGCTGCGTGCTGGGAAGAGCCAAGCTGGCTGGGTCCAACGGCTCCGTGCTTTGTTCAAGGCAACATGATGCCCCTCATGATGTCGTCTAACACTCACCTTGCAAGCCTAAACAAATCCTCTTCCAAGAAACCTGTTGCGAGCTACCTTGATTGAAGACTGCCACTGAAGAACAGCTGGACCAACAAGACCAATACTGCATCCTTGAAGGGAACCACACGCCAGCCTTGAAACCGTGAGGGCTGGAAAGTTGCGGCCTTGCTGGCGCTGCAAGGCAAAGCATCCGACTCGAAAGGTCTGAGGGCATGCGGCCAGCAGTACTGCGTCTAGCAGCCGCAGCAACAGTCCGAAGCTGAAGCTTTCCACGAAGTTCCCGACGGCTCCGTGCTTTGCTCAAGCAAACCTGACGCCCCTCACGATGCCGTCGAACACTCGTTTTGCAAGCATGCACATATCCTACTTCAAGCAACCTCTCGCAAGCTATGCCAGCCTTGGAAACATAATCGCTGGGAAGTTGCGGCTGGGCTAGCGCAGCAAGGTAAGGGGTCCAACTCAAAATTGTGCGTGCGCTGCGTCTGCCAGGCACAATTCAGTCTGAAGCTGAAGCGGTGCGCTACAGCCCAATGTCTCCGTGCTTTGCTTCCGTCAAGGCAACACCATGCGTCCCATGACGTCTAACACAGCTCACGCAAGCCTAAACAACCACTGAAGCACCAGCAGAAAAAAGACGGCATCCTTGAACCAACTCCCAACGCGTAGGGAAGGCGCGGCTCTGTCGACGCTGCAAGGCTCAAGTGCATTCCATTCCAAAATTGGAGGTTCGCAACCCTAGTTGCAGAGGGCTGGGCAGGCGCCCAGGCGCCCACGCAGCTCGGGTGGCTTGGGCGCTCAACGCGGCCAACATTTCTCAGTGAGTTGTACTGATTTACCAGCGTGGGAAACCCCCCAAGCATGGAATTTGGATGGGAGCCTGCGACGTTCTAGGCGCAGCCAAACTGAGTGGGTCCAACAGCTCCGTGCCTTGTCATCGTTAAGGTCGGCAGCTTTTCCGAACAAGCCCGGCAACTCAAGCCCGCTGATGCGTAGCTGGCGGGAAAAGGTCTGTTCAAGGTCATAGCATGCTGCTGCCTGTTCAGGATTTGCATCCCTTGGGAGCTTGCTATCCTGCGATGGAAGTCTCTCTTTCGGACGCACTGGCTGGGAAGTCTGACTTGAGATAATCACCGAGCGCCAGCCGATTTGCTCGTGGATTTGTCACTGAACCATGTGAATGCAGCCCAGGCGCCGGGCAACAATGTTTTGAACCAACAGGCACGCGCTTAAGTCAAGGAGCTCGTTTGGCTTCACTTTGGCATGTTGGGACTCACCGCTTTCCGAGTCAAAGCCTAGCATGCTCAAATGGCACAGGCTAAGGCTGGTACGACTTGGGCCAAATTGAAAAACGCGTTTGCGGACATGGTCTATCCTGCCGTTCCAACAAGTTGCCTGCTGCCTGACGGACAAATGGGCAAACCACGGCAAATGCAATGGCCGCTTGATTGCCACACGCAAAGGCAAATGCAATAAAAGCAAGGGCTGGTCCTTGCATGCCTACAAGATACATCCAACAAAACAGGGAGGGGGCAAAACTATTGCTTGCCAAAACGGTTTTCTGTGTGAAGGCATCGCTTTTTGTAGTTCGCTGGATCCCTTTACATGGGCTTAGAACATCCACAGCTGGAAAAATCGCTGCCTTTCGGCGCAAGTGTAGCAAGCAGAAACGCACGTAGACAGCTCCAGCAGGCAGGAACCGAATCTTGAGCAATGAGGAATTGGTCTCCAGAATCAATCCGAACCAGCTCCCCCTCAGCAAAAAACAAACACAATCCCTGAAGCCAGCCCAGACACCTACATTGCTAAGCAAGGGGAACTCAATGCAAACATGACTAGCTCTTGCGATGAGACTCATAAGGGTGGCAACTACGGCTGAGGACTGCCCGCAACGTTCGCTTACCCAAAGCTCTGCTAGTCTAGCTTCTGGGGTCACGCGGCCTATTGCAGCGCACCATGCCCCATGTCGAACTGCCACAAGACAAATCACGAACTACACAAACTGCCAAACGCAACCACAAAACACAAGAGCAAAAGACACGTTTTTTTTTTCAGTTTTTCCTTCAGTGGCCGGATTGGTGCGCCAACCGGGCGTTCAACCCTGCACCTTCACGGCAGCGGTCTCCAGATTTAATTTGCGACGAAGTTCTGGGCAAAGACAAGTGGTACGACCCAGCGTGGTCACATCCCACGGACCCACATCTCACCCCACCGCTTGGCACATCGCTCACCCTGCAACAGCCGGATCTCACCCAACAAGCAAAGCCTACTGGCACACCACATCAAACATGCATGATGCAACTGTCTTGTGCGGCGCGCTTGCGCCTATGCATATTCACGTTAGCCTCTACTTGTCTAAGCTATGTCGTGAGCTTAAAAAATGTCCGAACCGTGTCCACAAACGCTTGGCACACCACAATTCACCAACATGCGTTGCAGCGTTGCAAAGTTATTTCCCTCAATTCTCTGTCACTTGCCACAAGACCTGCGCCTGGCCTTCTGGAAGCACTGTGCCTGTCACGAAATCCGCGCCTGACCTTGCGAAGTCAAAGCGAGGTGCCAACGAGGTCCACACACTGGCCCTGGCCAGCACGGCCTGTCCGGACACAATCCTTCAGTGGGCGTGCCTTGGCGCGTGCGCATCTGCGTGTGTGAGAGAAAAGGACTGCACAAAGAACCCAACTCCCATGTGCTAGTAGAGGCAGCGCGCACTTGCGTGCCAGAGGAGTGCACCATTGTGTTTTGTGAGAGGGGTGAACAGCGCCCCTTCCGATCCCCCGTGGCACACCAGACCCCTGGCTTTGTGCGCGGTGGGGAGCTGGGGTAGCACGTGCGTCGTCTGCAACATGCAAGTGAAACGAGTGTACCCATGCGATTTGTTTCAACTATAAACACAGCATGATCATGACTCTAAATACCTTTCCCCACTGGCACGCCGCTTGCGGCGCAAGATGATGAATTGCGGGGCGTGTAACCACAAGGACATAGAGTCCAACGTCTCCGTCGTAAGCCAAAGTGCGAGTGGCATTGCCTTCGCAAACATATAATTCGTTTTTGCGCGCCCCATCTTGGGGGGCGCCACCCTGCCCTGATATGCGAGTTGCAAGTGATTGAACGTGTGTTTTCTGCAAAGAACGATTTTCGGTGGGGGCAGGGCCTCGTAAGAGTAGTTGGGGGTTGAACGCATCCCGTTCCAACAAACCTTCTCGCCAGCCACGAGCCAGAACAACGCCAGAGCGCGTCCATTGCAAGCTTCTTGCACGCAGCGCCACTGCGTTGTGGGCCCCATGTCTCACACCTGTGAGTCGCAACTTGACCAGCTCTCTTGCTTGATTTCGAGCCACAAATGCTGCATGCTGGGCTGCGGGCAACGCGAAGCATTTACAATCTTTAAGCAAGGACAATTCAACGCTGGCAAGCTAGCTTTTGTGAGAATCACAAGGGGGCGTCAACTATGGCTGAGACTGCCCCGTAATAATGTTCACTTACCCGCATGCTGATTGCTCTGCTAACTGCTGCCCCCTTGTCCTTGCCTTCCACTCTTGGGGGAGCATCCCGGGCCCCTGCCGAACTCCTCCCAATCACGAACAACACAAACTATCAAACGCACAAATCGCACAATGGGTGCGCCAACTAGGCTGCAAACCATGCACCTATTTTGAAGGACAATGCGCCGTCAAACTTTGTAAGGCTTGGAAGAATACAATTTGAGCCAGCTTTAAAACGACAGTCCTACTTGTCAAATCCTATGAACTTGCTTTCGCGGACCCTTTCGCGATGCTTTCGCGACCCCGTGTTTTGCTTTCGCGGGCTTTGTTTTTTTTAGAATTGCTTTCGCGACGCTTTCGCGGCGGACTGTCGCACAGCATGCAGGCTTTCGCGGGTCTTTGGCGGCGGGACCTTCTTTGCTTACTGCAAGCTTTCGCGCCTGCGTTTTGGCTTTCGCGTGGATTCTATAGGACACCCCCCTTTGCTACTTTGTATTGTCAGGGTTTTATGGCGCTGCTCAAGCGGCTTTGGGGATTGCGCGGCACTCATGGCTGAGTCTCGAAGCACATGAGCACATGACTTGGGGTCACAGAGCGTTGCGGGCGGGTGTAGCAAGCTTGGCCCGCGCAATGCGACGCCAATCGATTCGGTCCTGGGGACTTGTGAGTGCAAACCTCCACTGGGTCGCCGGGGAGTAGCCATCCGGGACCTCGAGCGGTTTGACTCTGGGGGATGTTGGGGATGTGGGAAGAAGGGGTCGGCTAAAAAAGGGAAATACGGGTGTTGTTTACGAGAGCGCCTTGTTTGGGCCCCTCAAGGCCAAAGAACAACCATACATTCCAGCGCCCTCCCCTCACTTGGCAAAAACCAGTGTAGGAAAGGTGACTCGGAGAAGGGTTTCAACAACCAAGCAACTACGCTCAACCAAAACAAAACATGTTTGTGTATTGTGTGAAGGCACCCTTGTTTGATGTTTTAGAAGGGTTTTGTGGGTTCCCCATTTGGACCCGTATTTATCGTTTGAGGATGTTTGAGAGCACACTTGTTCAATGTTTGCGCTGTGTTGAAAGAAATCTAAAGGAACAACTTTTAAAGGAACAACCGCCGTTTGTCAGGGTTCCCTATTTAGTACTAAGGGCAATCCAGGTGGGAAAGGTGACCCAAAATGGAGATACCCCAAAGAGTCATTATGGGCATCAATTGGGGGCACCTTCTTCGCACTGCTACCAAAGAAAACTAGTTGAACAACTTCCGAGCTACGGACGGCTCTAATCACAACAATGACACGTCCAACTACTGACGCAGCGAAACAAGAACATAGCCAACCATCGTTCAGTCGAGATGTAAAAACGTGGGGAGTCTCGGCGGATCGGTCGCAGAATGCCCGCACGCACGTTCGGCGGCCTAAACGGTTCCCCTCTGCGCACTTCAGGCTGGGCCTTCCGACGCCCAGACGCATGTGGAAATGGTGGGAAGCAACAAATTCGGTTCGCTGACAAGCCAAGAAAGGGAAGGTGATGAGACTACCCCGACCCCGCCATAGCCCGCCAAGGACAACCGCAACATGAAAAGGAGCAACCTCCTGCAAATCACAACGAAACAATCAGTTTTAGAGGAATCTCCCTTTGGTCCACTCACTCAGGGCGGGCACACTCCAGCTGTGCTTCCATGACATGCGACATTCATTTGGCGGCCCATTTGGGGAAGCCCGTTTCTTATGTTTCAGGCCGATTTGCATGGGAGTACTGGGGTAGCTACAACAACCCATCCATGGCAAGCCCCTAGAGTGGGATTTAACCACAGTAACTAAGTCAGGGGTCCCTAGATTCCCCTTAATTCTCATAAATTGATCAATTTACTGGTGTTTTCCATTGAACTGCAACTTTTGGTTTCAAAAAGAGAACTGGAAAAATCCTGCCCCTTCAAGTAGTGTTGACCCCGGATTGGGTGTCCCATTCACAGAGGGGATTCTTCACGGGAAACACCCCCTAGTAATCGGCAGGCTTTGTCAATCCTCAGACAAGTGTATGTTCATGGGGGGGGGGGGAGAAACAGTTGACTTTAAAGGCTCCCCCCCCCCGGTCCCCTGGACGACTTGTCTATTTATTTTGCCACCAGGATCCCAAACAAAACAAAAAAAGAGGTTGCACAAATTGACGCGTGTCCATCCTACGGGGTGGGAGGTCTGTGGATCTTTGGACCTCCGAGGCCCCGGCGGCCATCCACCACCACCACCCACGGATCTTCGAACTCGGCCAGGGCTTTGGCCCTCACCTGATCCGAGGCCTTGGGGGGGCCTCGTTTTGGATCTGGGAGCCAAAAAGCGGCCCTCCTCCCAAGTTTTGAAGAACCCGATGCTTTTAAGGAAGGTTGAAGGGGACAACGGCAACGGATTCAGCAAACTTCCGGATATGCCTGGATAAGCCCTGAAGGACAATAAAGGGTACATGGGGGATAAGCATGCAAAGGGGAGCAACCCAAAGAGGAGCACGAATGGCAAAAGCCAACCAGCAGACCCCTCTTTGATGATTTCTCCAGAAAACCCACAGGGAAGCAAACTAGGGAGCCCCTTTGCGGGGCCGGGAAGGACAGTAAGCCCCAAACAACGCTGAAGTGACAATTGCTTTGTCACTGGAGCCTAGGGTTGTGTGGTGAGAAGCAACAAAAACAACCCCAAGGAACCAACCCAAAAAGGAACATGGAGCCAAGTCTTCAAAAGGGGTCCTGGCAACTTCCATGTTAGTCTGGGACAGGGTACTCGTTGCGTTGTTTAAAAGAAAGCAAGTTTGCCTTGCCATGGCACACTGTGCGCGAGAGCCTGACACCTCTTTCAGCGAACCCCATAGCCTGAAGGCCCCAGGTATGTTTTCCCCATGCCAAAACCTCTGAGTGCACTCTATGGCCTGAAGCAGCGCACCTTTAAGACCCCCTACCCTCCCAAACGGACAAAGTGGCACAGCCACGGCCCCGAGCCACGATCAGTTTTCGAAGGGGCCAGGCCACCAAAGACCTTCACCAGGGTTGGGGGTTGGCCTTGGGCGGAAATTGAAGGCTCAGGCTTTCACAGGCTCTTTGGCGAGCTGACAGCCCAGCCTCGTCCCCAATGTGCGTGCCTGGCGCGGCCGAGCCATCGGAAGCAAACCCACAAAGGGCCCTAGCCAGCGGCTCGAGACGGTGAATCTTTGGCGCCGGAAACCTGACGTTGGCCTACCCGGGCACTTGCAGGTTAAGTGAAACAACTCCTCTCTTCTGACTTGGATGGCCCCCAGACACCGCAAAAGGATGCAAAAAGATGCAAAAAGAACCTGACCCCAAATGACTTGAGCGGGACACACATTGGCAACCCCGGCCCTCACGCCCGGCCTCTGCTCCACGCCGAGGCCACTGCCGCAGCACTAGAGCTCAGCATCAGGCGGCCTCCCAGCAAGGCCACCTGCGAAAAAAACAGCCGAAACCCGCCCCCAGGCCGGCTTTGGATTTGGTTTTAGATGGGAACCCACCAAACAAGAGGGGCTTCGGCTTGGCGCCCTTCAACAACGAACCTCAAAAAGGGGCACGGAGGGTTTTGCCAAAAAGGCTTATAAGTAACACGAGAGCTCGCCCTGCCTGCCCTGACGCTTTCGCCAGCTCGCCTTGGCTCGAAATCAAACCTGGAGGAAGAGGTTCTGATGGAAGGGTTCTGAGAGCCTTTCTATTGAGCAATGGGAACCGGGTGTTTCGGGCCTTGCAGCTTCGCCAGGAGGCAAGGGCTGGAATGGAGCTCGTAGATGAAGTTTCCCGAGACAAGGTTATTGACATTGGTGGGAACCCAGGATCTCAAGAATCCTCTGGTTCATTTTGATTGCCATATTTAAGAGGGGATCCTTCACTATTGGGGGAGACAGCCCCCTTAGGTTGACTCACCGGCCTCAACAGGTGATCTGAAAAACACCCCAAAAAGACATCTCGGGAACCGCATTGAGGCTGGAGCCATGGTCTCAGGCGTGCTTGTTCGCTGGTTCTCCACAAATCAGTTTGACTCCATACATACCCGGCACCCGCGCTCAAAAGTAGCATGTATTCTTGCAAAACCCTCTCATGCAGCAAGAATCGTTCAGCTACGCGCGGCCAGGTTTCACAAATGGGTAAAGCAGGGGACGACAGCCCCCCCCCAAACAAATTGGTGGCTTTCTTTTTGGCTTCCCCCATTAACTAAACCAAGGTGAAAGTGTACCCTCAACAAAAACATGCATCCAAATTCAGAATTACCCCATCGCGAAGTGCAGCGCCTGCCAAAGAATCCCCCAGCGTGTTGCCCATTTTTGCACGCTCGAACTCAAGAAATTCCGAGAAAGAGTAAAACAACCCTGGGTTCGAAATGGGGGGGGGGTCTGCAAAATTAAGCAACTACACATCCCATGTTGGTTCCTTTTCGGAAAATTACAAACCATGGGCTGTTTAGCACCCAGAAATGTAAGAATGCTGGCGTACCAGGGGTACCGTTCCTTACCCCGATGCAAGAATAGAAGCGTGGCATCCCCCTAGGTTAGTTGGTATTCATGTTTATTCTGTTTGAATTGATATGTTTTAATGACTAGGATTGCTAGAATGCTATACACTAATAAATGCAACTATATACAATGTAATATGATTGCTGTATGTATGTGTATATAACAACGATATATATATATATACATATAACAAACCAGGATTGTTTACCAGTTCTAGTGGGCAGGCCAGCAGAAGACAGAAGATGGTTCCGCCGAACAACTTGACATGGGAGGAAAAGGGAGCTCCATGCACTGAGCCGCCGCCGTCTGCCAAAAAGCTAATGGTTCTGGTCGCTGATGAGATGTGCAGTCGCAACACACATGCAACAGCATCCCAATGCCCGCGACTCTCCGGTGGCCTCCAACCATAAGTGTGTAGCACCCCGCCCCCGCCCCCCACCCCGTCCCCCCTTGAGGGATGTGACCTGGGACCCCTCCCACATGCTTCTGGGCAACTGCTTTCAGATCACCAACCGAAAATAAGAACTGGAACCCTATGAAAGAAACCTCCGCCGCAAACTTTGTGTCGCCATCCACTTCCCCCACCCCTTCTGCATTTAGGGGATGGATTCTCAACACAGAACACCCCGCTTTCACTGGCAATGCGGTTGCATCCCAACCCATGACGAGGTGCGCCCGCAGACCAGAAGCTGACCAGCTGCCAGCACAGGAAGCTGCCTCGCCTCAAGGCAACGCGGAAGGCGGAACCTTGCTGCATAAATTCAGTGGCTCCATTTGATCCAGGGAACCACCCTTGAAAAACCAAGCGGAACCGCATTCGCCTCAAGGCACGCAACATGGAAATAGGACCAAATACGTGAAACCTTGGAGGACATAAGCAACACGTGGGAGCGGTTCCTTTTGCAGGCTTGGTGCCATTCTTGGAGTTGCTTTGAAAGGAAAACAAAGGGACACCACCATTTTGGGAAACTCCTTTTTCAAGACACACCCATATGGAGATGATTCCGACTTCCTGTAGGCAAGCAAGTGGACCCTGGAAGAACCAGGCAAATCGCTGGTGACCTACTATAGTTGATCCACTGGGAAATACATGGAGGTTCGCGTCCAACCCTCAACTCGTTTTGGCTATGCCCACCTTTTCTACCCCACTGCAAAACAATACTGCTTTCTGAACCTTAACATGTAAAATCAGCTCAACAGAACTGGACAAAACAAGGTGATTTCAGGTCGATTCGCATTTGTCAAGGCACCCCGACGCACACAGGAAAGAAAGCCAACGCTTCTGCAGAGTATGTCAAGCACCCGGACCCTTTGGTAGTTGCTAAAAAGAGCGTGTTGTCCAAAGTTCTGATCGTGCACTTCCGGCTCAATCTGGTCGACCGGTTGCCTTAAGGTTTAACCATCACACCCACGCTTCAAGGCCAGACAGCATCATTGAAATGCTGGGGGTCAAAACTGGAACCCACCCAACATGGAAGTGCACATTTGGCCCATGGAAGCCTTTTGGAAACCAGGTTGGTGGGAGGGTAGAGGGAACCTTGAAGCATGACGATGGGAGTAACCTGTTGATCATCGCAAATCATGTAACCCCTCCCAAAGCAAAAACAAAGATTACCTATTCTCTTGTCATGACTGGATGACTGGATATGGTTTCACGTACCCCATTCAAATTATCCCGTGGATTTTTCTGCAAGCCGTGCAAGCAAGCCGCGCAGCGAAGGCCGCACCGAACCCAGGACTCCGCCTATGGCGGGGATCAGGCAAATGCCAGCCACGAACGCAACCTGAAATTTACAGGACCTGTGTCTGTTGGTGTACCATTTGGGCATTTCTGGTGACCTCCATGCTGGCGCTTCATAAGGAGTCATCTCATTGGCCAAGAGGCCGTCCCAAGCCAACCTCTGTCGCTTTCAGGTACTCAGGCACAGCAGCCAGCCATTGTCGGCTCGCTCGCTCGCCGAATCTGCCCCCGAAATTGGAGCCCACAAGCAATAGGGCATGGATCGCTCAGCTGCGTATGCATCAGACCCGCAAAAACCACCTACCTTAGGCCAGTGCTGGTACGGGGTCGTCGGCAAAGACATCCAGCACGCAGTTCATCTGACATTCTTCACCTGTGCTGTGCATTGCACGTGGGGCCCCACTGAATTTGGATACTTCACCTTCAAGTCAGATATCTTGGCCACAAAGCGCACAAATAGCACATGAACGTCCTGTCTCACCCTGACAAAGTGGGGGCTAAACACTGGAGTTGGATATGGTTGGATAAATTGAAACCTTCCCGTCCTGGTTTGGTGCCACCTTACCTGGGCGCTACAAAACTTCGATACATCCCAGCGTCAGTACCATATGCCCTCGTCATCGAACCAGCCAGCATTGCTGAACTCTTGGCAGCTTTCCTGAGCAAGGCTTGCAGGCAAATGATTAAGATCAAGTACATTGTTGTGAGGAAACACCCCTTTTACGTGATGCCAACTAGACAGTCCCTATGACTACCTTGAACCCTCTGACTGACAGGACCCCTTTTCATCTTGCTTGCCGAGTAACCCCGCAATGGTCACAACGCACCGGTTCAAACCTGACCAGCCGAACCGTTGCCTGACATCATTTCAAGCGAGCCTTGTTCCCCCCGCATGCTTCAGGTCGCTTTGACTCACAAGGCGCCATCTCCAAAACAATGTCTACACAATTGCCCACCCCCCCCTTCACCCGGGCGGAGGGGCACACATGGGGCAAACAAAAGACCTCCACCTCAGAAGGTTCAGAAGGAACCTTCTTACAAGGGGTTCAGATTGTTTCCTGCATATAGGGCTTCAGGCGACTTGGAGTCAAACCATCTGCAATCCCGGGCATTGATCGATAGCACTCATGTCTTTTGACAAAACCCGTTTCGTGGCTGGTGTAAAGCCAAAGGGACTCGATTTTGACATCCCCAAATCTATTCATTCGTGACACCTTTCTGCGGCCAGCATTGGCAATGGGAAGCCCAGAGCAATTAACCCCGGGATGATTCATAGGGGGTGTATGGGGGTGTCTTTTGTAGTGGGGTTTATCAG